TACATTGTATGTTAACTCTAGTTTCAGTACATTGTATGTTAACTCTAGTTTCAGTACATTGTATGTTAACTCTAGTTTCAGTACATTGTATGTTAGCTCTAGTTTCAGTACATTGTATGTTAGCTCTAGTTTCAGTACATTGTAAGTTAGCTCTAGTTTCAGTACATTGTAAGTTAACTCTAGTTTCAGTACATTGTAAGTTAGCTCTAGTTTCAGTACATTGTATGTTAACTCTAGTTTCAGTACATTGTATGTTAACTCTAGTTTCAGTACATTGTAAGTTAGCTCTAGTTTCAGTACATTGTAAGTTGCTTGATGATCCAGTCAACCCGTGACTGTTAGGTAAGTCCTTCTAGAAAGGTACTTGTATTCATTTTTTTTATTACTGTAAGCAAGTTCAGATAATTATTCGTGATTTTATCTGTAATTCGAAAGTCTAAATGTTTTTGTTGCCTTTTAAACAACATATTTGGTGTTTATGATGAAAATGTTTTATTCAACACTCATTAGAAATAGTGCTAATTGATTTGTTTGTACTCCTTCTTTTGGGCTGTTCATAATAACTGTTGTTTTTATTCCTAGAAAGGAATTTAGAGAAAATGAGGTGTGTTTTATCCACTGATTTATCTTTTTTTTTTCCACATTAGAAGGATAAAAAAATTGATTGATATATATGGTGGGAACATAAATATTGAAATTCAGCAAAGAGCAGTGGAGTTTTCTGCACTCGTTACAAAACACAATCATCTGAGGTAAGTTGCAGCTCGTATCTTTCCGAGTTTCCTTCCTATTTTTAAAACTTGTATGTCTAATTTTATCTCTGTGTTATGTAATTCTGTTTGATCTACACCACTTTGTTTGTCTATTTTTTACAAAAATAAAGGTTTTGAATAAAAGTAAGCTGATAAGTTGGACTTTCTTCTGGGTAGGCCTAGTCTTCTTGAGCGAATGCCTGCTATGGAAAGCAAAAATCCCAGTGGTTCGGCCCTCCAGAATGGTCAGGCTACGGAAGATGAGTTATTAGGGGACTCGACAAGTAAAGACGGCCCTCATGAATCTCTAACTTCCACATCAGATTCTGTATGTTATTTCCTCCTATAAGCTAAATAGTAACATTTAAAATGAATATTACAATTACCATATATACCTCTATTACTTTATATTACTTAATTTAATTTGTTTAACGTATCTGGCTAACTATGTTTTAGAAACCTACCTAATATTAAAGAAAAAAATTTTGCTTGTTTTTTTTTCCCCCTTTCCAGTCGATGTTTCTCGACTTACTAGGAGGTACATCAGATATTCAGGCCACTTCTTCAGAAGTAATCAAACCTACCGCTCCTTTATCTGTTAGTTCAGACTTGTTAGACTTGTTAGGTGGTTTGGATTCTTCCACACAAGGTAGGGTACCAACATCAAATCTCAGAATACTTACCTATAGGAGTAAAATTAACTCAAAAACACTTGTAGTTATTATATTTTATCTTTTTGTCCAGTGTAAAGCCTTTATTTCTTTGGAAACAATAATATCATGTAATATGAAGACATCAAAGAGTGCTCTTCTCCGTCAATTTTCAAAGTATGTGTTACTATGAAATCAAGTCATGTAATATACTTGTTTAAACCAAAGTGTTCAAACTACCCAAATGATGTTATTGTGATGTTTTACAGTTGCTCCATCCCCAGGATGTGATCCGTGTGTCCCAGAACTCATAATGGATGGGTTGGTAACACCGGAAGAACAAAAGCAAAGTATGTTCTGACTTGGTATTAAACTCATCATGGAAAAGTTAGTCTTTTCCCACTAGAAAAAATGGAAAGCAAATCCTGTAAAAACATTTAATTTTCACACAACTTCTAATTAGCTGACTGAATAACAAGGAATGTTCTTTAAACTAATTTAATTTGTGATAGAACTCCATGTTTGGATGAGATATTGACAAATACAGTGTAAAATATGCAAAAATACTTTTAGCTCTCTTGCTGTGGACTTGGTCAAATCGACCGACTTTGTGACCCCAAATTGATTTTTGTAGTTTCTATACTATAACTTCTAACATGTTTTGTGTATCTTCATGAAATTAGGCTTTCAGTAACAGACATTTGTAGCAAAAAATTTGAATTTTTAATGAAGTATTTTCACTAAAAATTTCTCAATGAACATATAGAGTCAAAGTGTTTGACTGCTTCGAGTGCAAAGTGATTTTCATGGTAAGATTAAAAATACTTTTTTCGTCTAAAAATTCTCTAAAATCTCCTAAATATATTTCAAACTTTTTTCAGTAAAACTATGTTTTACCTGTTATTTTCTCTACCCTAACTCTATGAAGTTAGTCTGTTTGACTGACCTTGTAATCACCAAAAAAAAAAAAGTTTGAAATAAATCTAAATTAACCTTTTTTTCTTTCTAGAATGACTTCAAATTGTAACATAGAACTACATTTGTTTATCCTAAGTAGCTTTAAATTTGTAACAGTATACATCTATTTATACTTATATTTTATTGTTTTATTGCCCTATGAACCATGTCTAAATAATTTTCCCACAATAAAATTTGTAAATCACTTGGGGAATGTTTAGTTCACATTACCCTATTGGATTACATAACACATGGGCTACTGGTGAGGTGCTCACAAGCATACCTTTTGAAAATTTATTATTAATATTTATTTTATTTAATCTAACCTAAAAAGTTAGTTACTTTTGTAATGATAAATAAAGATTACTCATGAAAAACAAGAAATAAAGTACTTACCTGGGCCTTCTTTTTTTTGCTTTCAACTGTTGATGACACTTAACCCTACTTTTTATAGTTATGGTACTATTATTTTTTATTTAATTAAATAATGCACAAAAGAACACAGTATAATAATATGTAAAAAGCAGGCAATGTCCCATATCTTTCACAACTTTTTGTGCTTTCTAACTATGTGACAAGAGTTGTGAAAAATTCAACTAAGCTCGTAGATGCGATTCCTGTGGGAATAAAGTTTGAAATAAAAGCAAAATTGACAATTCCTTGTACAGAAAACAAAATATATTGTGTGATTTGATAGATCAAACCTTGGCTTTCTATTGGTTATAATTAATAGCATTAAATATCAGAGAGAACTATTATCAATTTCTGAAAGAGGATGTGACGAGTGGGAGTGGCAAGAGAGATCTAATTTTCTATTTTATGGCTCCTTAACTAAATAAGATTGAAGGCTCTAAAATTATGCTTTTCCTGAGCTATGACAACATTATAATGAGTAATTTATGTTCAATATCATACTTTATGGAGGGGTAGTAACTAAATTAGAGAAGAGGGGGATACTTAGAGAGCAAATGTCACAATTCTCATACTTGGGTAAATTCTTTTTTTTTTATATTGTGTTATGAAATCAAGAACTTGAAACTTGAAAAAGATGCCCATAGTGAAAGCGTTGTTGTTGTTGTTTTTTGTGGGTCTGATTATGGATGGGTGAGGTGTTTGTATAATGAAAAACACAATGTGAAATATGTAAAAATGTTCGAGGGGCTAATAGTGGATGAGTAGTTGTTTCACAAGAACAAAATCAAAGTAAACTTTGGAAAAAATGCTAAAAATCCAGGTCTAGAAGTAACATTGATTTGTGAATACATAGTAAGAGATTTCTAATTACTTGCCCACAGCCATTCCGTCTCTCACAGCATTTGAAAAGAATGGACTGAAGTTAGATTTTTCATTTGAAAAACCAGTCGACAATCCTCAGATGATCATCATTTTATTGTCAGCCACCAATCAAACTCCCACGCCAATGACAGATTTCCTTTTTCAGGCTGCAGTTCCAAAAGTGAGTAGAAAATATAAAGTTAAGGTAAAGTTACTACATTTATTACTGGGTTTGATTTAAGGTAAAGTTACTACATTTGTTACTGGGTTTCAGCGAAGGTAAAGTTACTACACTTGTTACTGGGTTTCAGCTGAGGTAAAGTTACTACATTTGTTACTGGGTTTGAGCTAAGGTAAAGTTACTACACTTGTTACTGGGTTTCAGCTGAGGTAAAGTTACTACACTTGTTACTGGGTTTCAGCTGAGGTAAAGTTACTACACTTGTTGCTGTATAAGGTAAAGTTACTACATTTGTTTCTGGTCTTAAAAGTTTTACAGTTGAGGATTGGTTAAGTATTAAAAGTTTTACAGTTGAGGATTGGTTAAGTATTAAAAGTTTTACAGTTGAGGATTGGTTAAGTATTAAAAGTTTTACAGTTGAGGATTGGTTAAGTATTAAAAGTTTTACATTGGGGATTGGTTAAGTATTAAAAGTTTTACAGTTGGGGATTGGTTAAGTATTAAAAGTTTTACAGTTGGGGATTGGTTAAGTATTCAATGTATGTGAGTGTGTGTGTGTTTAAGACCAGGATGTCAACATCACCCATCTTCTGTTTGTTACGTATGGTTTGATTGGTTAAGTATTCAATGTATGTGAGTGTGTGTGTGTTTAAGACCAGGATGTCAACATCGCCCATCTTCTGTTCGTTACGTATGGTTTGATGGTATTGTTACCAGAAGTACTCTATACCTCTATTAATTTTTATATTTTCTCACCAGACATTCCAACTGCAGCTGCTTCCACCTTCGGGTAATGTGATTCCTCCTTCTACAGATAAAGGTGTGACACAAACTATCAAAGTCATTAATCCAAATAAGGTGTGTATACAGATTGTTAACCTTGCTGTCGAAGTCATTAATCCAGATAAGGTGTATATACAGATTGTTAACCTTGTTGTCCATGTCATTAATCCAGATAAGGTTTATATATACAGATTGTTAACCTTGCTGTCGAAGTCATTAATCCAGATAAGGTGTATATACAGATTGTTAACCTTGTTGTCCATGTCATTAATCCAGATAAGGTTTATATATACAGATTGTTAACCTTGATGTCGAAGTCATTAATCCAGATAAGGTGTGTATACAGATTGTTAACCTTGCTGTCGAAGTCATTAATCCAGATAAGGTGTATATACAGATTGTTAACCTTGTTGTCCATGTCATTAATCCAGATAAGGTTTATATATAC